AATTTTAGATATGTGGTTAGTAGTTTAACATACATTTTAACGGCAACATATTGGGGGCGCAATTTAAAAAAAAACAAAGCCGACCGCTTTACGAAAAGTGGTCAGGTTTTGTCCACATATAACTCTGTCAATAGCGGATGGATATTAATTCTAAACAAGTCAATCGAAAATGAAATTTTTCTTCGAGTCTGCTAAAATGAACATTGTATTAATTTTCAATAGGTCAATATTGAAAATAACACAAATGTCCAACTGTTGCAATGGTGATCAAAATTATCACTGCAAAAAGCGCTTTCCCTAACACAGATTTCAAAATCGAATTCGATCCGGTTACACTAAACAGTGTTTATTTAATCACCGTGTGTGGTGGTGTCAGGTCGGTCGTTATCAGCAGCAGCAGAAGTGCTTTCGCCGCGTGGCGTTGAACATTGTTCTCCAGTACATAAGGAAAGGTCGCAAACAGCCAGCTGCAGTCCACATGAGCGTCCATTCACCGAAGGAGGAAGAAGCTGCACCGGTACTGATCGGACTCTGTACCTCTTCGTGAGTCGCTATGGGCCATCTATGCAAAGCGCGTCACCCTCGTTCCAAACAACTTACAGCTCACCAGCCTCATCTGTGTTGAACACCCTAATAGCTCAGCATTAGTCAACCATCACGACAAAACGGTCCGTTTCAGAACCACCATAAAATTGTTAAAGAGTATTTTCTGGACATTTGTCTAGGTCATCAATCGGATATTAATTACAATATGTTTAAATCTAACCATCTACCATATATTTTTAAGGCAACACTGGGGGTCTAAATTCAACAACCAAAATCGGTGGTGGCATAGAAGTGGTCTGATTTTGATCCAGAAATGATGGATTTTAATTCTTAATACGCCAATCGATAGGACATTTTTCTACGAATCTATAATCTATAATAAGAGGCCTCCCTTAGCTCAGTCGGTAAAGGCGCAGCTACAAAGCAAGACCATGCTGGAGGTGACTGGGTTCGATTCCCGGTCCGGTCTAGGAATTTTTCGGGTTGGAAAATTTCTCGACTCCCTGGGCATAGAGTATGATTGTACTTGCCACACAATTATACTAATGCATTAATAGTAGCAGGCATCGAAAGCTCTCAATTAATAACTGTGGAGGTGCATCTAGAACACTAAGTTGTGAGCACGCAATACGCTAATATGCCATAAGCAATAAGCTTGAAATGCAAAGAAGAAGAAGAAGAAGAAGAAGAAGAAGAATAAGACTATAATTTATCAAAATGTCACTATCGAAAATTGCACGAATGTGCAACTGTTCCTATGATTGTTAAAATTATCACCGATTGCCTGCGTAGAGCGCTTTCCCTAACACAGATTTCAAAATTGAATTTCATTCGGTCTCACCGAACGGTGTTCATTCAATAACCACGTGTGGTGAGTAGTGGTGTTCTCCAATACACAACGAAAGGCTCTCCGCAAGCAGCTAGGTATCAAGGCTGCCCTAAACCACTGATCGGATTCAGTTGCTCGTCGTGAGCTGCTGTGGATAATCTATGCTAAGTCAGCCTCGTTCCAAACAACATACAGCTCGCCAGCCTTATCCATGTTGAACACCCTAATAGCTTAGCATTGCTCAACCATCACGACAAAGCGGTTCTTTTCAGGACCACCATAAATTATTGTTGTTTAGGAGTTAATTTTCATTGAACGTTCGCTCGCCTTGCTACCAGCCACATCACCCCCAAAGCTCTTTGATAATGTACCCAGCAACCAAACGTTTGTGGTCAAATGCGAAACAGTATTGAAGTCGTACATAAAAATTCTTGTAATGATCGAATACCACATGACCTTGTTAATTAACCAGAAACACTTCAAATCAAGGTAGGATTTTCTCCAGGACGCTAGAAAAAATCGAAAAAACCTAATTTATATGATTGATCACGAATACCTCGCGATTGGAAAATTTGACCAATCATTTTTTGCTTTTTTATTATCTATTGAATAAGCTATAATTTCCGTGCGTTTTGTGCACGAAAATGTGTAGTGTTGTCATCGGAGACCGTTCCGTGATGGGAAAAAAGGGGTTTCCCTAACACAGTCGCCGAATATTGATACCGAGCACGTAATCCTTTATCAAATCTACGGTCGTATCTTTACAGGGTGTCGACTAACTGGAAAAACCTGGAAAGTCAGGGAATGTCAGGGAATTCTATTGATGATCTGGAAAGTCATCAGGGAAAAAATAATGTTGATCACATTGCAAAAAATCATGTGTGGGACACATAAAAACAATCTTTGAAATTTTATCAGTGCATGACGTCAAAGTTTTTGGGGAGATCCCGGGCATCAGATCCACTTGCTGCGTTTATGGACGCCCTTGCCGATATCTCTTCGAACAAGTTGCTGCAAGTGTCCATGGATGGGCCCAATGAGAATTGAAGCTAGAGGTACAAAAACGTGGTGAGAAGCTGATAGATCTGGGAAGCTGTGGGTTGTATATTTTGCATAATGCATTCAAGGATAGTGTTCGCAGTATCAGTTGGGATGTTGTCAAATATGTGCGTGGTATCTACAATATCTTCAAAGATGTACCAGCAAGACGAGCGTTTATCACAATGTATTCTGGATCTACCATATTCCCGCTAAAGTTTTGCGATCACTAATGGTTGGAAAATAGTGCTGATGTTCAGAGGGCAATCAAAATTTCTCCACAAATACGAAAATTTATTCAAAGCGTCCAGAGAGACAAAATCGAACCAACGTCAGCTTCCTACCAAGATGTTAAAAACGGTTTGAATGACTCGCTGCTGATGACTAATAGTACGTTCAGACTATAGATTTATAACATGTTATAGCACTATCTTGATGGTGGTTTCTGTGTTGCAATTATTTGACAACCGTTATAACATGTTATAACTCTGTAATCTGAACGTGGTATTAAGCTGGCTTTCTTCAAATCAGTTGCTGTCGAAGTTGAACCATTTCTATGCGAATTTCAGACGGACAACCCTATGGTGCCTTTTTTGTACAACGCGATGTCTCAAATGGTTAGAGGCACTCTGGAAAGGTTCATTAACATTGATCATCTGAACAATATTGCACATATTTGATCAATATGATCGCAAAAAGGAACGACTGGACGTTTTTTGGCACAGGTTATTGCAAGGTCGTAGCCAGGATTCGAGCTAGGGAGGGGCGAACAAAATTTACCATGGAAAATTTGACCGAATGCCATTTCACCGAACGCCATTTCCCCGAAAGCCTTTGTGTTACTGAGTTTAGGGGGGGGGGGGTAGTCGCCCTCCTCTGCCTCCTATGGGTTATTGATTGGCGTATTCAGAACTACTGTTGGTTTTTCGGTAAATGCAGAATATCTTTTTCAAAACATGAAAAAGAGTCAAGGCCCAAGCGCAATGAAAGCGTAACGGCAGTGGTAGCGGAAAAGCCCGATCTTAGTAAGCCTATTTGCCGGATTGAAAACTAGTTAGAATCAAATCGACTGCGGTTAGGCATCTTGATGTCATTTGTGACAATTTTCAAATTTTTCGTTTCCGTTTCGCTTCCGCCCACATTGCGTTTGGGCCTTCAGTCGTAGCGCGACGTCAGATCTATGATGGTGTTACTCATGCAGGCGGGTTGGAATATTTACAAATTTTAAATGAACTTATTCACCGAGTTCGAAAAATCGCATTCGAGCATTTCCAGCCCAAATCGTTAAAAATAATGTCAATTTTGTCTCGACCCCTTCTGATGTGAATGAAACATTGCTCACGTGTTCGCTGCTACTAATGGTTGCATTTTTCATTTAAATATGATTTTTTCCTCCATAGTAACTTTTGAAAAGGGCGTATAAAAAAATGGATTATTTTTTTTTTTCAAAAAATCATAACTTGAAAACTATTGATCTGATCAAAATGGCATATGAGAAGAAGTTTTAGGTAGTTAAATTATCTTTGCGGAAAAAATACACTGAAAGAAAAACTTAGTAAATTAGTATTTAAAAAAAACGTAAAACGATGATTATCTCAAAACACCCCCCTTCGATCTTTATAAATTTTTTTTTCAAGAAAACTGAAAAAATGCCCTAATTTTTAGTGAAGAGTGTATGCTGGTAACTTTCTTAAAAAAAAATCTATATTTTTTTAAATTTTTGTTGGTTTTTACAAGTTGGTGAAATTGCATATTTTTTAGTAAAATAATAATTTATTTGGATTTTAGGCATAATTTTCAAAAACTTTGCATATATAAACTTTTTTCCTAAGTCCAGCCGTTCTCAAGTTAATGCAATTTAAAAAAAATATTATAATAATTTTCTATATATTGGGCCATTTTCAAATGTTAGTCGTGATGTCCAGCAACGAGATGTTTTTCCATGAATAAATATTAAAAAAACAAACAATTCATTCTCAAATATGGTAGCTGTCTTACCCGTTTCTATTTAGACGCAGCGGAAAAGAAACACGTTGATGTGGTCAAATGAAAGATTTGTTGAGATAAGAAACAGTATATATTTATTATTTTATTTTACAACTCATATTATTTGAATACATTGAATAATTTGGGTGTATCGTTTGAATTAGAGAATATTTTTACTGCAATTTGGTTGTTTGAAACTGGAATATAGCAATGATATTTTCGAGTTCCAGGAATTGGTTTCACTTTCTTAAAAATTGGATCAAATTCCGTGTAAGCCTTTTTGTATTCTTCGGTAGAAACATAACAAAATGACATTTTTGTTTGAAGATCTTCTTTACGACTATTTGCCCAGTCGTACAGTTGTTTAGGGTTCGTTATAGGGTGCTCGTGTTGCTTAGCTAAACTTGCTCTGGTTGCCATTCTCTTAAGGGTACCGCCAATCGCATCACAAGGACCTTTGCCGTGTGAAGTTCAATTTCTACATTATGCTTATCTTTAAATCCACAAAGGCTAGCAAAATTTTTTATTTTTTTGTATTGTGATGCTGCTCCATCTGACATAAAAATACACTTTTGGACTGTTATTTGCGACTTTAAAAATTCTAATAATTTTGAGAAAACAACTGAACTGCTACTGTGTCATGCTTTGAAATGTCCGAAATAACCACAAAACTTAAATGGTTTAGTGTACCATTATCATTAAAATAAACGACAAATGGATGAATTGTACATTGAGAATTATTCCAATGATAGCTTTGAACCTCATCTTGCAGAACAAATGTGTAGTTTTCAAAAAAGTCGCAAATAACAACGACTTCGCCATCTTCTAGTGTTTGTTTTTTTGTTTTTAAGAATTCTGCCTGCTTATTTTTTATAAAATCGTGATATATTAATTTGTCTAACTTTTCCGTAAAGAAAAATGAAAAATCTTCGGAAGGCAAAGTTTTCAACTCAATATTACACCTATCTGTCGTAGTCCACTGTTCAAATGACACTTCTAATATTTGTTTCTCTTCCAATATTTCTAATAATTTTGTTTCGGATAATGACGTATCGTAACAATTCATGCACGTTCGAAGATGGCAAAAGTCTGTTCTAGATTGTAAATCGCAAAGAAGTTGTTCCATATAGATAGTGCGATCACATAATATGCGATCTTTTTTCAGGCTGTTCAACATTAGATTAACATTTTCGTGAATCGTACATACACAAACATTATGAGATCCTGATTTACTAAGAAGTTTACAATTTTTTGGTCGTAAGGCTGCAAATGAGCTAAAGCTAATATTGATATCTTTATGGGTTTCCGCAAAATGCAAGTATGTTTCTTTGAGCGACATTGTTAGTAGACGTTTTTGTATTACCTGGCGTACACCACCCGTCACTACAGAGACATAATCTCTTTGGCCCGGCATAACTCTGCTTATATCGTCATCTTCGTAGAATTTCACAACTGTATCTACTAACTCTGCTCTCAGTCCATGTCCTGCTTTGGAACGAGGGGAACATAATATTCCATCTTCGGCGACCAAATCTTTTACCTGGGAAGAAAGAAAATGAAAATTATTTTTAATTTTTCCTTTATGGTGTTTAAAAAAAATATAAATCTTACCTGTGCTGCAGTATATCTGTTGACACCGAATTCATCCATGATTCTTTGTACAGGCCAAGATTTTGGTAATACGGATAATACTTGGGTCTTTTCTTCTCGAGTGCATTCCGGATCTGCGTATTTTTCCTTTAGTTGGCTCATCATTTCATCGTAATCCTTAGCCTTGGCGTTGAGGATTCCTTGGTCATCATCTTCCGAAAGATCGAATATGTGTCGCTTAACCCCATCCATGATTTCTTTGGTTTTCTGTTGAGGATAACACGCGCTTCTCAGCCTCTTTGTCGTAATCGGTGATACATGGATACCCATGATACCTTGGTTGAATGTCTCAATATTATGGGACAAACAGATTCTATTAACAACAGAATCTGCTGAAGTCGATGAAGCCAGAGACGTAACCGATGGGATGATATTCACCATGGATTCACTCTCGATATCTATGGGTGCTGTTGAGCGTACACCACTGGTAGAAGGTTGTTCCAGATCTTGCTGCATTCCGTCATTCGAAGGCGTTTTGTTTGATGGCAAACGGTAAACTTGAAGACGACATCTACTACAAATTTTCAAAGAACTATCCAGAGGTATTTTACAGCCAAAACATTTTAATTTTTCTATTACTCCATCTGACAAATTTCTTGTATCTGAACAACACTTTTTTGATTTAGGTAGAGGTTTACAACACTTGAAATTGTTATCCATCGTAAAAAACTACTTGCTTTTTAACTTGAAACGCTAAGAGAGATGAACTGAATGGAACAGGTGAAGAACGTCCCAATATATATATATATATATGACATTATACCTATCTTCATTAGGTACAATTGATTATAGCAAACTATTTTAAGTGTGAGTGTAAGAAACCTCCACGGGGTGCCTTTTTATGTAGTTGTGATATCGCGGGATGAGCTCTTAAGGCACAATATGGTATACTTCAGAGAAGTACCTAGAGAATTTATCTCAATTACAGGTTTAATAACATATTTGTTTACCTGTTTATGTTTTGAGCCTCTGTTATGACATACACAATTCTATCCAGGTATACAACTAATAGAGGACAGAAAAAAGGCACATGAGTGGGTTTGTTGATTATTTGGGTATATTTGAGAGTATTTACTTATAAACTTGTTTCTTTTCCGCTGTGTCTAAATAGAAACGGGTAAGTCTGACAGCTACCATATTTGAGAATGAATTGTTTGTTTTTTTTTTTTTATATATATTCATGGAAAAACATCTCGTTGCTGGACATCACGACTAACATTTGAAAATTGCCCAAAATGTAGAAAATTATTATATTTTTTTTTAAATTGCATTAACTTGAGAACGGCTGGACTTAGGAAAACAGTTTCTATATGCAAAGTTTTTGAAAATTATGCCTAGAATCCAAATAAATTATTATTTTACTAAAAAATATGCAATTTCACCAACTTGTAAAAACCAACAAAAATTTCAAAAATTATAGATTTTTTTTTAAGAAAGTTACCAGCATACACTCTTCACCAAAAATTAGGGCATTTTTTCAGTTTTCTTGAAAAAAAAAATTTTATAAAGATCGAAGGGGCGGTGTTTTGAGATAATCGTCGTTTTACGTTTTTTTAAATACTAATTTACTAAGTTTTTCTTTCAGTGTATTTTTTCCGCAAAGATAATTTAACTACCTAAAACTTCTTTTCATATGCCATTTTGATCAGATCAATAGTTTTCAAGTTATGATTTTTTGAAAAAAAAATAATCCATTTTTTTATACGCCCTTTTCAAAAGTTACTCTGGAGCAAAAAATCATATTTAAATGAAAAATGCAACCATTAGTAGCAGCGAACACGTGAGAAATGTTTCATTCAAATCGGAAACACTCATGTCCAACCGGTTTGCGTTTTGGGCTGGAAATGCTCATTCGCTTTCCATGTAGACAAGGATCGTCGTATGAAAGAAGCTCTCGATTCCGAGAGCTCAAGATGCTCAAAAAGAAGCCAAGAGTTTGCAGGAGAAAATTGTTCTGCTCAAATGATAAACATTTTTAAAAGTAATCCGAAAATAAACACATATTCAACTTGCAATTTCTCGTTGTAATGTGAACTCACTGAGAGAATAAAATGTTAATGATAATTAAACTTAAATTATTTTGCCATGTCTGCGGTTGTCATATGGAGTTCTAAAGAGTACGAAACTGACTAATGCATGAGCAGTGCATCCTCAGGTTCGGTTGCCAAAGCAAGAATAATCACTGCCCTGTTTTATATGTTAAGAGGAAGGATCGTCTACGGGGTTGATTTTTATTTGGCTGTGAAATTATAAACACAAATTGAGAGCTTGGTGACATTGATTAAATATTCCTTTTATTACTTAGTAATGAATAGTGAACCTAGTTGTGAGCAGTAGTTATTCAATATTATATTATAATATGTATTTATAGCCCTAGGTCTATTCACATCCTTCGTAGGTAGTCGGTCATATGTTCTGTAAAAATTGTATTAGTATCATCAAGTTCTGTTGTACGTGCCATGAGTATGCTATTCTTGATATTTTCGAAAGCTTACCCTGCTGCTCATTTTAAACTAACCTTAATTTGCACTACGGTATAATAAAGCACATCACGTTGTAGCTTCTGAGGTTAAACTAACGAAGTTTTGTGGACTGGATTTTTTCTGAAAACCGACTGGAAAGTCAGGGAAAGTCAGGGATTTTTTTTCTACTTTGAGTCGACACCCTGCTTTAATAAATCCTCTTATTTTTTAAGTATAATTTCACATTACAACACATCTTTTTAAAGTAAAATTTCACCATAAACACCATACTTCTGATCGGCGACTTGGATAATTTTTTTTATGAATTAAATACTTTATTAATTTGTCCTTCAAATTTTCACAAAAATTGCCCGTGGGGTCTATCTCATAAGGGGTCTACTACTACTTCCATATTTAAATTTGGCCATCTCAATTCTAAGAAAATCAAACATATTAAATTATTAAAAATATTATAACTTTGGGTGAACTTTGAGTATACTAAATTTGAAAATTATTTTGATCCATTTACTCAAGAAGAAATTGCCAGACAATACCTTTCCAACGACGTAAAATTACAGAGATATGAACATAAATGTGTTATGTTTTTTTTTGGGGCATGACCTCAAACTTATGATCGGTAGTGTAGCCAGCTTTGAACCATCATATTTAGCCTTAATTTAAAATTGAGAGTTTTGTTGACATAACTAATTCAATTCTATTTTGCACAAATGCTTTTTTTGGTAATTGTTCTTTTGTTCTATTCTTTTCTTTACGGTATTTTAGGCTTACTTCATGATTAAAGCATTTATTTGAAACGAAGTTAGGAAGAGATATAACCATTTGACGAAATCGATCAGGCTTCACCACCACAGCAATACATCGATAACTTACCAATCATCGAGGTAAAATACCAAAAAATAATACCAAAAATATTTTCCCACAATACCATTCCAATACCACATTAAGCAAATGCAGGTATTCTTTTGGAATCCAAATATCAATTTTTTGTTATTTACAAAGTATTTTGCATGCAATTTTTCTGTATTATTCTTTGGTATTTTACCTCTTATGTCATACTGATCAACACCAAATATTGGTATTAGGTCAGAATTAGGTATAAATTAGTTAGTTTATCCTGCTCGGGCATTCAGGATGACATTTAAGCGTTTCAACCATACCAATATATGTCTGCCCTAGCTTACGGGGCTGCTTAACACTCCGAACACGTTGCTTACGGTAAAATGTGTAACGAAAAACTTACAATATTTGAAAAATCATAGCTCAAGCATTTATTGACGAATTTCAAGTTTTGTGACGCCATTTAAAACTACATACTTTAAAAAAGTATTCGGTTTCAATAAATTTGAAATCTATAGATAAATTGCTGAGCAATGATTTTTCAAACAATGCCAAATCGCCGTTACACATTTTACCGGAGGCATCGTGTTCGAAGTGTTAAGAGATCAGATACTCATAAGGATTGCTAACCCAACAAACATTCGAAGCAGCATGAGAGCTTATTCAGGCAAAAATATGCTTCTTCAGCTAAAAAATGGCTTATTCAGCCTTTAATCAGATCAAATTGTTTGTTGGGAAGTTGATAAGACTTCCAAATGTCAGATTTAGAATTAATTTCGAGATGCTTTATGATGCCAGGAAAATTCTGTGGGATCTCAATTTCAGTTTTAAGAGTTTTGGTTCTCAAATTTTAGAAATCTCAAGCTAATAAATAACCAAAATTATATTATTTTCTCATCACAACATTTCACTGAATGTATTCAAGCAAATTCAGAGTCTTTCAGCATAAATCTGATTAGATTTTTGCGGCTGAGCAGTCACATTTTACCAGGTTTTTCTTGAAATGAAACATATGCACTACAAAATGTTGTTTGACTTCGAGCTGCCAACAATAAGACAGCTGTCTAACACGCAGTTCAATTGGAAAGGTTGCCAAATAAAAACAGGTTGCCGACACCAGAAAAACTTAGAGTGTTGTAAAAGCGTTTTAAAACCGTTTTGAACAATTCTACTGATTGGAATGGATAGAGCAAACACATACTGCTTATGAGTGCGTTAGGTCGGGAAAATGCCCAGAATGAAATTGATAAAAAAAAGTTATCTCTGGACAAAATTGTAATAGTTTTTCCATCAAAATATTCACTACCCACCAAATGTTCTTTCTAGTCATATGGTTAACATAATTTTCTATTGGAAACCATGTGAGAAAAACCAAGTTAGAGTTAATGTCGAGAACACGATCATGACCTGAATTACACCCTCATGATTATCTGTAAACATTATTACACATTCAAGATAGCATTAACTTGTTGTGAATCAAAACCTGCACCGTGCTCCGCAGCAGCGTTAACCGTTTCTATTCATCAAGGCTTCCAGCCGCGTTTTACAAAATCTTATCAAAGCAAAAATCACAATCCCCGCAAACATTCACCGATGATGGCCCCATTTCTCCGCTATTCAGCTAATCACGAAAACAATAAAATTCCTCATCACCATTCATTCGACCGATGATCGCTCGGCCGAAGCCATCCCGGATACCGGTCCGATCCGGGATCACCATCACCGTATCGCCAACCCTCTTCCTCTGCCAGCTGGTTCTCCTCCTCCCGGTTCACCCAAGCTTCCTTCATGAGCTCTTACAATCGTTTAACTATTCATACAAGCGTATTTCTATCCTCTATCGGAAGTATTAATCTACCAGATGATGTTGGGCTATCTGGAATTCCATCCATTCAGCAAGACTGCTGCAATGTTGGTGAATCGCATACAAAACCTTTTCCATTCAGTCAGTCATCCAGCCAGCTAGCAGTGATCGTTTGGTTATTGGCCAGGGTAACCCAGGTGGCAGAGGCGGCAAGTATTTATCTAAAGCCACTGCGATAAAAATCGAAAGCCAGCCACCGTCTCCTGCTGTCGCGTGCTTCGTTTCCTTCGTGCCAAAGGAATCATGGTGAGTGTGTATTGAAAAGATAGCAGCATACCATTCCGGTCGCTCACACTTGGCAGTCTCTATTTCTCTCCTTCTCCCGGTTCAACTTATAGCGAGTGATGTTTGATTTCGCATAAAATTTACTTTGTCATTTTCGAATTATGCCGTCATAATTTAATTAATTGTAAGTCTCCATTCGTTACTGTTCACCAAAAAAGAATAATTTTAGCTATGCGCGAACAGCCGACATAGAAAAAAGATGCAATTTGCAAAGCACATCAAACCAACTGCACCTCCTTAATGCATTCGAAGTTTAAC